ATCGATGGACCGAATATACATATATTGAAAAATAATTTCTTTTAAAAGATCTCCGTTGTTATAATAAATTTTTGAGCATACATCGTGCATAATTATTATAACTCGCATCAAGAGAGTTAGTGTGCAGAACTTATAACGAAGAAAAATGCGGTGGAGCCGTCTGAAAATGTTTTATTAAGATTACATATGGCAAGCGAGGCTTCCGTTTCCAATTCCTCAAATTGAAAATCCATCTCCTCAACATTTTTTCCGATACATACATATATATATACTGTCGGTACGATAAAAAGTGCATTCTCTAGCACATCTTGCACTTGTCTTATCTAATTCTCTACTAAAAATTTGTCTAGGTTTATCACCTTTACCACTTTGAGAGAATCGTTCAGACTCCTTGTGCGAATCGTTCCCTTACGCGTCTGCACTATACAATTATAGTACAGCGAAGATTATGCGAGCTGAATGCTATAATCATTCGTAACCATAAATAATATCCTGATAATAAATTTCTTAGATTTTGCGGAATATGATACATAGTCCTCTTAACGGTAAAATGTATATTCTCAACATATCGTACGAACTTATAAAAAAAAATAACACATGCTAGTACTGCATACTGAAAAACCTTTATCAAACATATCAAAACAAATCTCGTTGATGATCTTTAATTGTGCGTAGCAAAGGAATCATGTTACACACATTTTCCAATCGTACATATGTCATAATTTTACTTATCACCTATCTTTTGACTGTACAAGGTGTTCCGCAATACATTATTTTAATAATACTAATAAATTTAAAGTTGATTTTTTTTCTTACCAAAGCAGTTGAAAAAAAAATCAACATTTAAAACGACTACAATTTTTTCTCGAATTTTTATTGTATGTATACATCTTTATAATCAAATTTTTAATTAAAGTTTCATTAAACTAAATTCTAAAATTATTTGAATGTAATTTTATCATTTTCACATGAAACTTCACAAAAAGATCTTAATTTCTAATTACTTGTAACTCAAAAAGTGGTATTTCCTACATTGATTCACCATTTGTGTTATAATTTTCGCAAAATATGAATAAAAAGATTAAGATATCTCACCCAAAATATAATAAGAAATAATTCAAGTTGTCGAACTATTTGTCAAGGCTGTTTTTATTTTTTTAAATATAAAATATCGTAGTTTATTCATTTATTTAGATAGAGAGCCGTCAATTATGAACCAAATTTATCAAGCTGATATACAATATCATTAAAAATTATGAAAACCTAAAATTAAAAAGATAGTAATTGCAAAATATTAATAATTTTTAAAAATTTCAAAATTTTAAAAAATAAAATTTCATTAAAAAAAAATTAATATTGTCATACCTTTTTAATTTATTTTTTCAAGCAAAATTATCTCCTTCCCATTTACACTGTCAATAACGAATCACCTTATATAGTCAAGAGTGTCTATCGTTAACAATTCTATACAGTGCGTGTCCAACATCTCAGATCTTTCTAAATTATTAATAATAAACAAAATTGGGTATATGCAAGAATAATATGAATGCAATACAATCGAATTAAATAGTTTTGTTATATAATTGGGGTTTTACTAAACATTACTCATGTTAAATGTGCAGACCTTTTGTTAATAGTGTTCACAGGTAACTATGACTTGTTATAAGAAAGTCTATGTTTCAAAAATAAGAAAAAAAAAGTTCGGAAAACGCATATCAGAGTAATCGCGTGACGTCCTTGATATGTTTTATATGTATCTAACTATTAAACATTTCTGCAGGCGCAAGTAATGCAATGTACTTGTAACATTGGTAAAAATATCTCTAACGGCAATGCCACTCGCAATAATACTAAGTAATAAAATAATGACATAATAAAGATCTTAATAATAGATGTAGAGAAAGTGGGTGAGAGTAGAGATTTAAGCGATAGTAATAGTAGGATGAGAGAGTGACTTAATAATAGCGTAGTGATCGCAATAGCAGAAGTAACAGCAGTAGCAACGACAATAGTGTAGTGCTTTCAATAATAATACATTCTCCGATATTTGTGAGACAAAGAAAAACGTAACAAACGTATACGTTCAACGTAAATTTTTGTATAAAAATGAAATATAAAAAATTATACAAATCCACGGTCGAAAATTGGTACGAAATTATTACACATTTTGTGTCCGATGGATTCGATACAAGTGCACGTGTTAATCACTTAATTATAAATGCGCGTTATAATTTATGCAACAATCATTAGCTTCTCAGTACTTATTATATAAAATCAAAGTATCTCTACATTGTACAGTAAAACGTCGATTATCCGAATAAATTAATTCTATCTATTAATAGATAGATTAATTCGAAAAATCGATGGTGGGTAACAACTATTCCAATAACAAATACAATTGTCAAACACATAAAATAAAACATATCGTAAAAAAACATAAATATTAACATTTTAACGGTCGTTGTCACGTATCGAGAGACTTCGCTCGCGCAGTTACATCACCATTAAACGCCAGTTATCTGATGCTTAATTAGGTCTGTGTCCCAGTTCACGTATTCATTATTGTGCAATCCTGTGAAAGGCGCTGACAACAGACGTCATGCAAAACGTCCGGCCGTCAAAATGTTACACACAAAGTATGTATGCAATAACAGGACTATTTTTATGGTATAATACAAGATGATAATACCTATAAAGTATTGTAATACAAAGTGCGAAATCTAATTTCTTAAATAAATAATTTTGCTAATAACGATATTACATAGCTTCATTGATAAATATAATATCACTTTAAACCTTCCAGTACTGTCATACTGTATATAATCTCAAGCTTGACGTAAATTGCACTAAATGTTTTTTTTTTTTTTAATTAAACATATTAAGATCTAAGATCAAATGCGATTTCAATATAAAATTAATTCGATAATTGATTTTACATAATTATTAGAATGGCATGTCGCACGAGTACTGCAAGATTCAAAACTGAAATAAATGTATGTACAAATTCCAGATTCACTACATTCCCTTTCATCTCTGAATTCTTTGATTATTCGCTTGTAAACAAAGAATTTACAGTTGAGAGAAAATGCGTGATGCCTGAGATATTCTCTATACATATGTTAGCACTGAAACGCAGTAGTTGTGAGAGACGATGGGTGCATCCTTTAATATTAGATAATGTATTTAAAAAAGCGGAATTTTATATATTTGTCGTCGTGATATCGATAGTTTCTGTCGGAAGAATTCTGTATTTTCTCTTTTGCTTTCTTTCATCTAAATGGATGATTTTCAGGAACGTTTTTTAAGAAAACATTTCTCTCACAAACATACTTGGGACAGTCGCCGTTCTACTGTTTTATACATAAGAATGGTACTCATGCGTACGACAAATTCAACAATAAACGTATGCTCTTTTCATAGAACTTTACAGAGTAGGACATTTAACTTCACCATCTGATATATTTTCCATTTGACATCACAGAAAAAAAGCTATACGTAGAATGTTTCATGAAAGATAATACGCCGATATTTATAATAGAAAATCAATGGAACAATTTTAAATTAAGATAGGTATCGGAATTTCATTTTTCTCTGGTTACGTGTACATAAATTCTTAAAAAATAATAAAAGTATTTAATTTTTAATCCATAAAAATAAATATTAAAAACATAATACATTTAAAATTATCACAGACATGCTTTATATCCGAATGTGGTAAATGTCTAATCAATCTGTGCGTACACACGTTATTAATGTAAAGCATGGCTAAAGAAAACACTTTGTACAATAAAGTTCGAAGATAATCTTATAAATTTAAAAGAGTAATTCTTAATCATTTCGCATACAGAAGTCATTTTTTTCTCAATTAGTTAATCTACATTATGCAGACATTTTCTAGAAATCGCAAAAATTCCGTATTTGTCATCGTTGCCTTATATCTAAAATTGAAGCCGTAGAAAAGTAAAAAAGTAAAATAAAATTACTGTTACATCACTACAGATTATCAAATTTAATCTAAAGTAGATAAAGGAAATATAAAAAAGATACTATTATAGCGTTTCTTCATTTCTATCTATAAATTGCTTGAAATTGATTTTTCTTATTGTCCACATTTTTTATTATATGTACAAGCATTCTATTTGTTTACTAGTTTATATAAGTTAATTAGAATTTTATGTTATTTAAAAAAATATAAACAATAACTGATATGCATTTGTTTCAGAATTAGTTAATTTTCTACAAAACAATGAAAGCGACAAGAAATTTTGCTAATAAACCATTAATATTTTATAACTCATTCATATAAAGCATTTTCATATTTGGATTTATATAAACTTTTTTTCACTTGCCTGATCACTTCAATACAATATATAAATGTGATCGCATATTTTTTAAACACCCTGTTGTGTAAAAGGATGAGGGTGCATTTGAATATTGGCACAAATTTAAACAATTTAAATATCACAAACCACGAAAAAATTGTTCCTGTATTTTTTTCAGAAAATGTTTAAAAAACATCAAAAGTTTGTGATATAGAATATTTAAATTGCTTAAATGCAACATGGTGTTCACAAATGTACTCCCTTCTCTCTACGTACTACTTATCAATATCTAGTCAACATGTTTTGATCGATCCATATCTCTTAAATTACTAGACTCCCATTCAAAATTCCATTAAAAAATTTATTCCTGAATTCGTCGGAAGACAGAACATAATACTCATATTTTATGAAATATTCTATATGTAATATTTGGTAATTTTTGGACTTTATATCTTAAATTTCTTATTTATCAATTTTTACTAATTTAATAATCATACAGTTGTGTCGCCACGTTCATGTAAAAACTATTATTATTATTATTATTATTATATCTAGAATAAGAGTCCAGTAATAAATATTAAGTTTTAATATGTTGTAAAAAACAAATAACTTTCAATATAATACAAAATTTGAAAAAATAATATTTGAATAAACATTAAAATTCCGTACCATCACCAGAAAAATGTAAAAACATTTTTTTCAATTTTTAGGAAAAAAACTCATCCGATCACTTTCTTAATTTTAGAAATAAAGTCAAGTGTGTAAAGTTTGACTGGATGACTATACATTATATGCATATTACATATGTATATAGAATATCAGAAGAAAGAAAACAGATGGTAAGATCAAGTGTCCTATTCTGTGTAACGATAGCACAATTATGGCACGAAACTTATTCCTAAAGAGAAACGCTAAACAGGTCAGGTTTTCAATTCAATATAAATACATGTTCAGGGAGCAACCTCTCTTCTGTAGTGTACTATTTTTGAGGTGATCATCTCAGTATTCTATAATTTTTCTGCTCGATTAATCTGCGTTCGACTTTTTTGGAACTTCTCCCTTTCATTAATCTATTTCATCCATTCGTACATCGCGCTTATAGTAAATACAAAAGACCTAAGAAAGGCATTCTTAGGTTTCCTACAAATACAGTGCAAACTGTACTTAAGTTTGCAGTGTATTTGAGATTTCTCGATGTACAGTTGCCAAATCCTGTATACAGCCAGCTAATCTGACATTTAACGTATCCAAATTTTGTTTTTGAACCTTGTTCGCACTTAACGCAAGTTCTAATTGTTCGTGAACTACATTCAACATCTCGCGAAGTTCTGCGTTCTCTTTCTGTAGAGCCTTACAAAATAAAAAAAAATATTTGTTAATCAAATATTTGACAAAAAAAAATATTAAAAAACTAATACTAATATTAGAAAGTATTAAAACTCTACATACCACAAAATCTTTATTTTTAGTGGCCATAGTGAGAGCTTTGATTTCTTCATTTCGCGTTCTTAGTTCACTTTCCAATGCTTCAACTCTCAATCTTAGAGCTTCACTATTTCCTTCCGCGATCTTTCCAGATTCCAAATCAGCATATCTAGCTTTTATTTTGGCATTTTCATCTTTGTACAATTGCAACTGCCTCTTCCATTCGTCGACATTGGCTGTAGATTCTTGTAAAGCACTCGTTAGTCTTGCATTGTTACTTTTAAGATTATTCAATTCAACCTGTAACAAAATGCCATTTATAATACCTTTATTTACACAATACTTGTATTTATGTGTAATTCTCTAAAAAGACATTTTGAATCTTACCTCCCATTTTTTTGCGTTAACAGAACTTTGAGCTAAAGCATGTTTCAACCTATCATTCTCATATTTGAGCTGCTCAGCCGACTGTCCACTTTGTGAGCTCAATTGTACCGATTTTCCTTGATGCTGCGGACTTTCTGTACTCTGCTGAGAAACACTCTGTGATCTTGAATGGACTGCGTTTTTCAATTCGTCGTCCACTTTATTTTGACAACTACCAGGTAAAGGACTGCTGCTTACCGAAGATACACTGTTCTGAGCGGAAATCATATTGGCATTTGGATTTGGGTTGTTCGACGCTGACACATTGGAGTTAATCATCGAGGAGTTTGGTGGATCTATGAGATCTTGCTCCGACGACGGCATACCCGATCGAGACGTAATTGGACTGACATTTGCGCTGGTGGCCGGTGTAACTGAAGAACTGTTCGATTGTAACTTTGCACTGGCCAGCTTAGTGGCTTCTTTTACCTCATGAAACTTCTCGATAAACTGTTAACAAAAAATATTTCTTCTGAGAGTATGATATATAAAGATTTCTGCTTTGTAAATTTTAATGAAAGTAAGCTCAATACAAACCTTTCCTAATTCAGCCTCGGATGCAAAACCTAAACCGTACACGGTATTTGCCCTGACGTCCGACCATTGGCCAAATTTCTGTGATGTTTTTGTAAAAGTCATGTTTGGAGTAACTGTACTATTTATGACGGCCTAAAAAATGTTTGTATGCGTTAGATAGGAGTCCATATTATTTTTATACTGTTAAATACTATTTATAATTACCTTTGTTCCTTCAACTGAAATTATTCTATATAGACTTCTAGTAGAATCATAGAAGAATGATACTGATATTGCTGCTGATGATGCAGGCACCCAAGACCGTTTGGTCTTGGGATCAATGTGAAATACGTGCGCTTTGCACGTAAAGATTGGTTGTTCACTGTAATCAGTTTAAATGATAATAGAAGAGTGTGTGATTTTCCATATATGATACAAAACATCTATTTTTATCCGACCTCATTAATACAAGTGCATATTTAAAAACATGGCAGAGTTCTTATAAAATTATAAACAAGGTTATCTATATATAATAAGACTTTATAAAAATAGCATTAATATTATTTGTACTTAATGACTTATATAATGACAAATCAAATAAAACTTAATATATGTCTTACATTGTTAAATATGAGAATAGAAATAACTTTAAAACAAAAGAGCAGACAAACTAGTTGATCATGATAGTAATTAGTATATTAAAAAATATTTATAAATGTTTCAGCCAACTACAAGATCATTTTCATTGCACATAAAATCGAAATAAATCAGAATTAAAAAATAACTTACAAAATCACATTATAATGCAATAAATAATGGGAAATAAAAAAATTAATTTGGTAAAATTGCAATTACACTGTAATTTTAGCTAAAAATAGAATAAAAGATATTTATATCATATAAATGTCCTATGTAATCATACATATGTATATTTAAAAGATATATATGTATATTTAATAAATCCTACATATTTTTTGCTCATTTAAAAATTTCTATGCAAACTTGACGAATTAAATTTTTGTTCTAATTATAAAAACAGTAAAACAAATGTTACAAATTAAACAATGAAAGAGTGTTCTTGACCAATTTCAGCATTATTATATGAATGCGAAACAGGAAAATTATTCTGACTCGTATTACTCGCGTACGTGCTGTATTAGTATCGCTAATTAAGACGGGAAAACGTGTATGCCAGTGAAACACATACGCAGAAAAACGCAGTAACGCGTTGCAGAGGGGCATTGCCTTCCGCATCTAGTTTGTGCGGCACGATAGAGGCCGGTGACAGGCGCATTAAGGATAATTCGTCGTACGCACACGAATGCGGAACGAAAATTAGCCGTCGTGTATACATGCACGTTACACACCCTTAAAAGGTCGTGCGGAACACCTCGCCGGAATTACTTACCCCATTGTTTCCTTGCCCGATGTCATATAAAAGCCTCCTTAGTCACACAGTCTTATAAATTGTTTCGCGTGCATTCAACGCGAGTGTGCAGCGGCTATTTTCAGATCGGAACAGACGAGATTTTTTGAGAAACAGCCGAGAACTGTCCGAATGAAGGCCGAGATCCGCCAGTTGACAGCCGCCATCGGCCGAACTTCTCTATAGTGAACGGCGACGATCACGCGACGACATGAGCGTAGTCGAATCTCTCCGCGGTCTGCCTGGATTTAATCGATTTTCCGAGAAAGGCTCTGCCATTCGCCGTTAACCTCACCGCGACTCACCACTCCAACCCGTCAAATTCACTAAATCCACTAAATGCAGCTTCGCGAAAAGTCGCGTACGCACATCACGCCCGACGCGATCGTACTCGTATTCTCTTGAGGGCACAAACCAGTGAGCTATATAACATACTAAAGTGAGGCTTGAAGGAGTGGGGGTAATCCATTATGGAAGAGAGAAAGCTACATTAGACGGGGACGTCTGTCTCATGCCTGTTTCCGTTGTTAATATTCGCACTATACACGGTAGTAAATGTGGAAGGAGGACAGACATTCCCCATCTATTATTGTTATCCTTGGGCCGCAAACTACACATTGGTTCTCATGGGTAAAGCTTACTATAGTTGTTTTCCAGCAAGAGACACAAGTGTGACAAAAGTATTATTCTCTCTGTTGCTCATTGAATATCGAACAAAGCAAAGTGATACTTGTGTCGATTGTGTCGACTTGTGTCCCTTGATGGAAAACCATCTGTTATATAGCTGGCATGAACGCAACAAATACGATGACGATTATGGTCGGTATTCATAGTCCGTTCTTATATTTAAGATTGTCTTAAGCACGGACTTATATTCGCTCTCTTCGTCACACATAGATTGTGTCTGACAAAGAGAGCGAATATAAGTTCGTGCTTAAGACGATCTTGAATATAAGAACGGACTATGAATACCGCCCTATATTTCGAATTGTGACGCAACATAAACGTGAAGTTTATGGCGCATTTCACCATACAGCATGCAGTACTTCTAGTAATTTTCTAGTTTATATAGATTAAGCGTGAAAAAATGCATCATATGGAATAGATCTAAAGCCGAGAGCACAAGCTTTTACATAAAGCATAACGCATAAGCATAAGGAAATTGATTGGTCTATATATAAGCATAAGCAAATGCATAAGGAAATGGACCAATCAATTTCCTTATGCTTATGTGTTATGCTTTATGCAAAAGTCTGTGCTCCGGCCATAAGGTCTAAGAAATAACTAGGCCAGCTGTAACAAAATTTGAACTTTTAAAATCTTGCAAGTACAAGAAAGTAACTTGAGAATTTTCTTCTATAAATTTATATTCAAATATATGGAAGTAAAAATTAATATTAAATTTTAAACAAGTAGCATTTTTTACAACTGTGTTGGAGCTTTTCTGAGAGTTTGTTATTTCCATGGCATGGTCCAAGGTATATACTGCAATAATATTTATTCATATATTTTCCTACTGATATAAAGATCTTTTATGTATAAAATTTGATTCCGTTATCATTTATAATATAAAGAAAATAGAATATTTTTAAATATTTACCAAATAAAAATTACAATGTAAACAATAATGATTACCTTGGATGCAACTATATGTTACATATAAAATTGTCAAAAATGTAAAAGAGAAAATTATATCAAAGTATGTATATTTTTAAAAATTTTTTATAGAGTTCTTATAGATTTTTATTATTTACCGAAAAATTTCATTAAGAAAAACAATAGCCAACTTTCTTCGAAAACGTTAGTCGATCTTAATAGTATCATATTTCATAGTAGAATGCTTATAAAACAGTGAGTTGTGTGAGCACAAATATCTTGCTTCTGCATCAGGAATTTGATAATATCTATTACACGCCATTATAATATACATAATTTATAAAGACATAATATTGATTCGATTTGATTTGTCGCCATTAACTGTACAAACCACGATAATAGGAAAAGATATATATTTTATATAATTAAAAATATTATATATTAAAATAAAATTATCTAAAAAACAAATAATTACATTCAGAATGAAAATATATATTATAATCATACAATACAAATTCAATTAGACATCACAATTGATTTAATCTACAAAAATTTAATCAATAGAATGTTATATGGGAATCATGTGGAACAATTTTAATTGAATGTTAATTATCATAGATGATTTCTCGGCATTTTCTAGACTTTGTCGAAAAAGTTGAGCGTGTTGCCAGGCAAGTTGACCTTGTCCGCCCGACAACGTTACAATTATGTGTAATCTCACCGCTTTTTGCACTTTGTCCGTGTGAAAATTGTTGCAATTATGAACAGGTATGACAATTGCTTTGTTGTCATTAAAAATGGCTTCAATCTCCCAGGATACAGTAGCTCCGTGAAACACCTCCGATGTAGCTTTTAAACTAAACGTCTCTAGACACAATTCGGAATTCTTGGTTTCAAAAATCCATTTAATACGTCCACGTTCTGTTTGCGGAGATCGTGCTAAGTAAACCATTTTCCAGTCATCTTCCACTTTACGAAAGATTCCACCCTCTGCGGTATGCAATCCTTCCAGCCACTCAGATCTTTGCTCGAAAATGGTACCATCATTTTTCATAATGTAATACACATCTTTAACGATGTTATATCGTAGTTCGAACGTTTGTCCATATTTGGAAATGTCCCAAATATAATTCTTTTCTTTATTAACCTAAAAATAAAAAAAGAATTAAGTGAATAATCAATTTGAATAATCAAAACACTTTTGGCAATGTAATTTGAAATTTATGTTACTTTAAAAATTTTTTAAGTATATTCGTACCTGTGTTATTTCTCCTCGTGCTAATCTCCATGCGAGAGAACCCGAAGTCCGTCCTTCGTAAGTTTCATCAGAGTCTTGATTTTGCGAATTTGGAATGTACAGCATATCAGCGAGCTCCAATAAATTCCGTTTGATGACATATTCTCTACGCGCGCGGCTGTAATCGACAGAATTTTGTCGTTTTTCATTCAATGATTGAAGGAGTTGCATTAAACTGTCTTCGGTACAAATTTTTCGTCTTTTCATAACAGCTTCTTGGTCCCGCGTGTAACGCCATGTGACATCTTGCACTTCATCCTTAGAAAAAGCTATTATATATGTGAACTTCTTCTGCCATCCCTTTTCGTACATTAATGGTTTGTCTATTACATTTTCGCACGGATCTAAATGAATCCATCTATTATTTGATGGCGAATACACCTGAGAATCAGAGAATGAAAAGTTACAAATAACGCTCAAGATTTTATCGCAAGATATTTTTTGACATTATTGAATGATAATTTAATATACCTCTGTCCAGACATGATCTGTTTTATCCCATACAAATCGCGCGTCGTAACCCAATGATCGACACATGAGTGTGAACACGTTAGCCCATTCTCCGCAGCGACCACGTCTCAATGTCAACAATGGCTCTGGATGCGAATAACGAGGAAATTCGACAACTATATTGCACTTTTCACATCTAAGATCAAATTAACATTATAACAATATTGCAAGATATGATATACGATCTGATTGCTTAGATATATGATCTTATTAAAGCATACACAGAAAAATTTCACCTATGTAATTCTAGTCTTGAGCAACGAGGATCTGAAGATGGTACTACACTTTCAAATACACATTCAGCAGAACATATTAAACACAATGGACTGTTAACCCATTTGAAACATTTGTGCTTAAACCAGTGCAATAGCTCTACCAAGAATAGATCTTTGGCAATCAATTCTGTCTCAAATTGTGAAGAGGCATCTTTTGTTGCATCGTTTAACTTAAAAGATCTGCAAATACAAGATAGAAAATTTAAAAAATAAAATTTATTGCAAAGAAGACAGAGCACAGATATGATTCAATTACTTTTGTAATTCTCTCATCTTTGTCATTGCTGCAATTTCTAACTGTGTGATAGGTATGATGCTTCTGGCCTTTCTTTGCAAGTTTGGATCTTCATAGTGCATGATACTATGAAAATATTCACTAATTCCATTAAAAAGTTTTTCTTGTTCCGTAGAACTTTCTTCAATGTTTCTAGGTCTGCTTTCTGGCCGTACAAATCTGTTTTCTGGCTGTACAAATCTGTTTTCTGCTTTTACAGATCTGTTCTCCGGCATAGCGGACAACAATTTTGATAAACTTTGGAGCCTTGAGAGGGATACGTTACGTGGCAGAAATATGCGTTCTCCATCCTATTACACATAAGTGCATCAGCAAGAATTACACTATAGACAGACAACTAGAAGATTTAAAAAATGCCCATTAAACCGAATACCTCAATGTAGCCAATATGGAACAAGCACTCCAAAGCGCCGATAGCTGGCAGAAGTTTCTCGACGACGATGTCATTGTCGAGGCGCAACTCGCGAGACTTGTCATCGTTGGGTGACCTCAGTAAGTTATGACAGATGTTCAGCAATGCTCTTCGTGCTTCATCTCGCACATCATTTTCGTTTTCCTCCAGAGACTCTACACAGCGCTCAAGACTTCCGTCCATGTTAACATGGATTACACAGCTGATAAGTCCGCAATCATCTGTTCACGATCACTGTCAAGTACTGGCCAGCCAGATCAATTTGGCGTATCATCATTACCGTTAACTTACCTAATCTAGAGGTGAAATAAGCTTAGTTATTAGTTTATATCGTAGGAACTTTCTACGCCGCACGCACTTCAAACGAACCATTTTAGCCAAGACTCAAATCATTTTAGCCAAGACTCAAATCATTTTTAGTCAAAACTTAAATCATTTTATCTAAGATTTTCGTTTTAGCAATTGGCTATGTTTTTAAATTTTATTGTAGATGAGAAAATAAGTATTCTGGCCTATAAAAAATGCGTTGATGAATATCTTTTACCGACAGCGAAGAATTATGAGCTTTACTGCGAGCTTGCGACGGGCGAGGAAAGACCTAGCTGGCGTTCCGCAAATGTCTGCTGGAGATGCCTTATTTTCCTATCTGAACGCCCTGCGTCTTATCAAGGATGTGACTGTCGAGGCGGAATGAGGGGGATATGTAACAGTGTTCGCTCACTGTGAGCTGGTGTGGGTTGATTCTTCATCTCATCAGAGTACGGATCGTATATGGTCATCCGTGTAACCAGCTAGATGCAACTGCACGCAGTGCCGGATATCAAGAATTGCATAATATTCGAAATTCGTCCGCGCCCATGGAATGCGCGATTCCACTTGACACAAAGTTCCTACGATAAAGCATTGCGGAGCATACAATACGTACGTCAAGTGCGGTGAAGCTAATAAGGTTGACGTGCTGGTGTTAGTGTCAGGAATATGGCTATATTTAGCGTATGACGGTTTTGGAGCACGTACAGTGCCGTCGTTCTAATATAACATCGTTCGTGCATCGCCTGTGTTTACGGTCGGTTTATGATACCAGAACGAAAATGGAAGATATATTTCAGTGGTGTCGCGAAGGCAATGCTATGCAAGTTCGTGTCTGGCTGGATGACACTGAACATGACATGAACCAAGGGTAATTATTCCAGAACTCCTTTTTTGGAAAGGACTCGGTCAGAGGCTGTAGTTTTTCAGACTCTATAATTAGGCGGACTGTATAATCAAATGATTTCTGTAAATAGTATTTTTTTAAAGAAATAAATGCTAAGAAACATGTAAATATAACTTTACATGAAATTTTTCAAGCTAATTAAATATTTTATTGTAACAATTTTATATGTAACACTTTGGATCTTTCTTAAGTAATGTTTGCATTTGTCTGGAAATAACTTTAACTCGAAAATTTACATTTTATTTTTTATTATAAAATATTTTATAGTATTTTATTAATATTGTATAATAAAACATATGGTTCTATATATAGAGATGACCATGGATTCAGTCCACTTCACTGGTGTTGTAAAGAAGGACACTTTAAATTGGCGGAGTTGCTTGTCAGCAGAGGAGCACGCATTAATGCCACTAACAGAGGCGATGACACACCTTTGCATCTAGCTTCTGCGCACGGACATAAAGAAATAGTGCAATTGGTAAAAGAAAATTTAACAATGCCACTTGTAATTATTAAGATTGTTTATTTCAGATAGATAATGTATAATTTAATTTATAGTTACTCAGAAATCGTGCTGACGTAAACGTCACAAATGAACATGGAAACACTGCCTTGCATTACGCTTGTTTTTGGGGAGATCAAGCAGTTGCAGAAGAATTGGTTGCAGCTGGTGCTCTCGTGTCCATTGCCAATAAAGATGGCGACACTCCTCTTGATAAAGCCAGAGGAGTTGTGGCTAAAAGATTGCATGGTATGTAGAGAGTTCCTATTATGAATTAATATATCTTTCATATACATTTCTTGTTTGATTAGATTTAGCAGTGGAGTATGGACAAGACTTGAAGAAGATCCAGTTCAAAGATCAGAGCTGGTTAGGCCTGAAAACAAGAAGCCGTATGTATCCGAAATCCTAAAAGAGATTAAATCCTATAATTGATTGTATTGATACGTATTCTATAAGTGTTTTTGTATTATTATTTTTCAGGAGATGCGACTCTCTCAAGGCACAAAGGGATCAGTATGGCAGATCTGGCCCTGCACACACATCTTGCAAGCACACCAAGCGGTGACACTTGGAGAGGACGATGGCAAAACAATGATATTGTCGCCAAAATTTTAAACACCCGTGAATGCACTGCACGTGTTTCCAGAGACTTTAATGAAGAATTCCCGAAATTGAGAATCTTTTCGCATCCTAATGTTCTGCCAGTTCTCGGTTGCGTGAATCAACCGCCGCAACTGGCAACCGTTTCTCAATTCATGGCGCGAGGTAGTTTGCATCGACTTCTGCACGGAGGAACAGGCGTCGTCGTGGATACAGCGCGCGCTCTTCGATTAGCTCTCGACGTTGCCAGGGCTATGGCATTTCTTCACGGTTTGGATCGACAGAATAGATGCAGATTTTATCTCAACAGTAAACATATAATGGTGAGAATTGACAACTGTACAAATAATTAAATATGAAGTGATATAACAATATTATAATGCTGTATTGTGTTTTAGATCGATGAAGATCTAACAGCTCGTGTGAACATGGCAGACGCGAAATTTTCTTTTCAAGAAGTCGGACGAATTTATGAGCCAGCATGGATGTCGCCGGAAGCTTTAAGTAAGCGTCCAGTGGACATTAATCTCGAGGCTAGCGATATGTGGAGCTTCGCTGTTCTTCTATGGGAGTTAGCCACTCGAGAAGTACCTTTTGCTGATCTATCGCCTATGGAGTGTGGCATGAAGGTTACAATTTATTAATATTATTAAAAGTGGCAATATTAATGTTCTTTCTCTTTTCAATAATTTTGGTGAATTTCATCAAATTATTTTATGCGCGACAATATTTTATCCAATTTAAACATCAAATTAAGAGCTAATAATCTAATGTAGATCGCGCTGGAAGATTTACGCATCAGTATTCCACCGGGCATTTCTCCGCATCTTGCAAAGCTCATTCGGATTTGCATGAATGAAGATCCAGGCAAACGACCATCCTTCGATATGGTTGTGCCAATCCTTGATAAGATGAAGCGCTGAAATGTGTTCGATATTTCTCGACAAATGGTAATACATATAATTGGAAGAAACACAAGTGGAAAACATACAAAAAAGATTGAAGAGTGCCTAACGAATCTCTATATTTATTCAACTGCCTCGAGCATTATTATTAACAACGATAGAATATTTTTATATCACTGTGTTTTACAAGTGAACGAATACTGCCTTTAAAAGCCTAAAGTAGTTTCTAAATGGACTAATTTTTAGCTATTCTTATATTTAATATAAAATTATATGAATGTTTTGTGCAGGTATAAGTGTTTATATCCGTAATCTAAATAAAATTTTAAATAACTCGAACTTTTATCTGTTTGGCATATTTAATATCAAATCGCCAATACTTCTAATATAAAAAGCATAGTGACACTATTTACATATTAGAGAGCATATTTTTTATAAAACTTTTAGTGACACAGTCTGTCTGTATTGTCGGACATATTGTATTATTTGTACATTAATTGAAATTAGAATGATTAATAAAACTAAATCAATTTATAATAATGAATTTATTTAAACTCGAGTGATTTGTATCGTAAATAATAATTCTGCATGCAAATTTTTTTCATGTAGATATATGTCAACGAATATTATTACATGTAGACAAATATATATTTGCTGTTACAAAATGTTTAGTTCATTTTATCATCACATCCTCGACAATTATAAAAAAAGCATATCTCAATACATTTCTAGCATAAAATTGCATAAAATTTAAACAATTTGATATATCAGTAAGTATTTAATAAGTTTTATCCAATTGATTGTTTTATTAGTATTATATAATATTGTATTATACATATATTTACAAACAATATATGTTATTAAGCATACATGTGTAATGCATTCGTCGCCATATAAACGTAATGGAGTTACGTATCTCACGTGAATGTCATATAACTGCAGTAATGCGAATTGACTTGCTGTTCAATAACCTAAAAAATGGTTTTACATAAATTCGCCCGATTCGTGCAAAGAACGACATTTTTGAATAAAAGATGTTACATGAACAAGAATGGAAATCTGCGATTGTTTAGCACGATGGTGCAGCAACCGCCAATAACTCGGAGTTTAGTGAAAGTCAGTTTAATCGGTGCGGCTACCGGCGTTGCTATAGGTGCAGGTTATGCTTACTACAAGATCGACAAAGCCCGGGAAAATATCGCTCTAGAAGGAACGCAAGCAGAAACCGTACTATTAAAATATAAACCACCTATTACTCCATCAAGAAAAGTACTTTAACAATTATATCGTGAGAAATTTTATGGTTTTCATCGCATTTGCAGTGTTAAGAAACCACATTCTGTTTCAGATTGTATGTCCGGTGGATGCTACTGGCTTGAAACTTACGTTATTTCAATATCAAACATGCCCTTTCTGTTGCAAAGTAAGGAAAAAGTATTTATCTATTAAACGAATTATTCTAATTCTATATTTATTTATAAAACACTCAATTCATTGTGGAAATTTATGTTATATTTAAATCTTATATTATCTAATGAACAAATCACATTATATGTCTAACATGTTGTATTGTTTTTATCAGGATATTGTTATAAAATTAATATTTAATTTATTTCAGGTTAGAGTTTTTTTAGATTATTATGGGATATCTTATGATGTTGTGGAAGTAGATCCAGTACTCCGCAAAGAGATTGGATGGTCTTCTTATAAAAAGGTTCCAATTCTGCTGACGAAAGTAGAAGAAGGCTACCAACCTTTGAATGACAGCACCATGATAGTGTCTCTCCTTGCTTCTTATTTGCATGACCCATCTCACAAAATTGAGGAATTGGCTAACTATTATCCAAGTATAGGAATGCACGATGAACAGGGCAATTTTAAATATGAAATGATAAACAAATATTTTCTCATGTTTAATAAACAACTTCCAAAAGACAGAACAATGAATGATATAACGTATGTAAATACTAATATGTGCAATTTAATGATTGGTTGTTTTTTTATATCAATTTGTTAATTTGTCGCTCTTTTTATTTCCAGTGAGGAGCGTACTTGGAGAAAATGGGCAGATGAGGTCTTTGTTCACACACTTTCACCAAATGTATATAGAACACTCGATGAATCTTACAGAACTTTTAATTGGTTTTCAGACGTGAGTAAATCTAAAAGAAATAAAAATATATAAGATACAAACAGTGGCATAAATAAAATAAAGAATTATTTAGGTCGGCAAGTGGGAGGAGTACTTTCCAACATGGGAGCGACTGTTAATAGTAAATGTAGGTGCATTGGCAATGTGGTTAATAGGGAAAAGACTCAAAAAGAGGCACCGTTTAAAGGACGATGTCCGACAATCACTGTACGATGAAGCAAATTACTGGTTGCGCGCAATCCGCACACGCGGTACCACATTCATGGGTGGCAGCAAGCCCAACCTGTCCGATCTTGCGGTGTACGGCATTTTGAAGAGCATCGAAGGCTGCGATGCTTTTCAGGATTTACTAAATAACACTAAAATTGGCAATTGGTATACCGCTATGAAAGAACAAGTTGAAACACACTCGGGTAGCATCAATTTAAGTAGATAATACATTAAGTACGATTGTGTATAGCGTTATTTATTTACATATAAATATAATACTTATAAATATGCATATTTATTTTCTATTGGAATTCGTAATACATATATTTCCTTCTAATGCATAAAAATATGTACTTAAGCTGCGCAAGGTAGCTGACGGAACATAAGTGCGAAACCTTTATTTTGGACGTCCGTCATCATCATTAGTGACGTCTCGTCGCCGTTTGTAACGACATAAAGTACGAACGGCTTCAAATTCGCTAAAAGTTAATGCGAAATGTTTGGGCATTATTGTAATGTGCAACACAGCATGTACGAAATTACGATTACTCACATGTTTTAGTTATGAATCCATTTCCGCAAAACCTGTCTGTATTGACAGGAGTGCCATTCTCAAGCGGATCGGGTATAATTACAAAATCGCTCGTACAGTTTGCGCCTGATTCTGCCACCAAGTCTGTACCTGTTCGCAACAATTACGCATTGTAACATGAGTAATGTAACTCACTAGATTTTTATAAAAAATTGTCTAGGAAAAATTACTGGACCGTGCGATTTACCTATTATGTCTGGATCGGACGATCCTGTATCATCGGAAACGGAGAAGGAGAATCTATCTACTTGCGACCATTCGATACTACAATATCCCAAAGCCATTCTAACGCATACGCCGTAACGATGATTCACCATCTGCCGCGTTCCAATTTGAGGAGCTAAAACAATTTTTTGTTTAAACTATTTTCTCTCTCTCTCTCTCTCTCTCTCTCTCTCTCTCTCATTTAGTTTATTGGACTCGAATAACACATACCTCGAACATTTTCTGTTGTACCAAAGTTGAAACTCATTACAGTGTCGGAGATAGTCTTGTAATATTGCAAACAACCATTAGGAGCTAAAACAAAAATGAGAAATAATTTTACAAAGTTTCTCAACGCAATAATGAAACCATCTGCATACCTTTACACACAGAATCGCACGCTATTTGCTGAATTCTTATGTTCCACCGTCGATCGAATGCGTAATCCGCGCTGGTATCGATGGATATCGTGATCGGCGTCGCTCCATTGAAATCAACGTATACTGAAACAGATTTAACTAATTTTTGTTTCCTTCAATTCGCATATGAGTTTTCATATCAGTCAACTTACCATGCTGGTTAGTGTTTTCTCCGCATATTCTCGGCACCGTGGACGAGCCTCCAGACACCAGAAACACATCGAGATCGCAAAATCCGGTCGCGTTGGGTTGAGCCCAAGTGGCCTCCAAAAAGTCCAACCGCAACTGTAAATGTGAGGGGTGTAAAGGTTCCGCAGACTTGAAATTAATGCACAGCGTATACGTTACCTGACAAATGTTGGAATTGCAACGTTGCACCGTAATCGTGCATCGTTCTCCTCCTCGATAAGTAATGGGATATCTCGGGCTTACGAAGTATGTGTTGTTAATGTTAGTGGTGGAGCCGCAAGATTTTTGGACTACAAGTTACGTCACGTTACTTATGCTACTATTATTGAGGCGTATCAATATCTCTGATGCCACTTACACACGCAACAAGTGCCCAATCCGTTAGCGCACGATCCGGAAGGACTACCTCCGTAATTAATACATTCCCGTCTCGTGAAGCATGTGCCATTGAGCTGATCGGCGCCTGATAAGCATTCGGAGTTGGCAAAGCGCACGACACTGAAGAACGGGAAAACTAAGCAAAGATACCACTTTGTTTAAAAAATTTCTAAGCAGTGCTCGTTATTTAATAAGCGACTTACACCTTCCCTGATGATTGGAACTGGAATTAAACGAGTTACTCTCCAAAGCTGCATTTTCTTCCAAGGATTTATCCCAGTCAATAGTCTGAGTGTTTATAACAGACACGAAGATGAAGCAGCCGACTAACAGTGCACTGATCATGTCTGGAAGTACGACTGACTGCAAAAATTATACTCCGGCTCTCGGCAGATGCTGGTAACGGAACGTGTATACTCAAATGATCAGAACAATTAGCAAGTGGTCGAAACTTCGAGTCTGCTGCCGAGTTTAACTGTACGACGATGTGATAAGATAAGATGTGACAGATTCTATTTTAATTTTATTTATACGGTAAGAATGGTGATGCGAATATATATATATATATATATATATAAGAAATAACACACAATTATTAAAATGTTCATATACAAAAACATTTGTATATATTGTCATGATAATGTTGTACAAGATCGTAACAGTTGTAAATAAAAATAGCGCGATAAAATATTTCTAACAAGTCAATATAAGTATATGAGATCTATAACACATTTCTAATCGGATATTTCGATACTTCTCAACCTGCTGTTGCGTTCGGCGCGCGGCAGAATGGACAGTGTCCGTGCCGTAACAGTGCCAATTCATAATCATCCGAATGAAACAACTGAAATGTATAAATAATTATATAAAAAACAGAATTCCATGAAGTCCGATTACACGGTTGTTCATAACTCACCTTTAAACAGCACTTGCATAAGCTGACTTGGAGATCAGGTAAAAGATTTCTGAAATATCTAGTCTTAAAGGGCTTAGGCCACTTAATAATTATTACTGTGGACGGATCCATACTCTTCAACACTCCCCTTCCTACTGTTATTGTAGAATTACTGGATTTTTCCTGTGGAAAGCATGCGACTTGTTTAAAAAAGAATTACTTCGCACAATTTTTACGTCAATTGCGCCGATTGTACCTCGTATCTCATCAAACGAGCGGTGAAAAGATCAGTCTCATTGGAAGTCACGGTGAACTGATCACTAACTGCAAGATCATCGGGTGAAGGTAATGGTTCTTCTATCAATTTTTCCGCTTCCTCGTCGGTGATGTCATCTTCTAAGTCAAATTCCACTAACGGCAGGATTTCTATAAACAGACATTAGTCAGGCATGCGCTTTAAAAGAAACGTAGACTTCAAGAATTTTGAAATTTTGATTGCAATTTGATGCTATCTACCGAACATGACGAAGGAATGTTGGAACTTCAATCCGCATTGCGTGCAATTGCTGCCAGAAACATTGTTCGTCGGTAATAACGGATTGAACGTGGAGCATTTGTAGCAGAGAGGCAGTAACTCTTCTGGATCGCGATATGGATAAGATCTGGCAGCCAGAGTCGATGTTTCCACTTGCGCTAGGAGATTCGCGGGAATCTTCATCGCGCGTAACTGGTCCAACAGCTGCATGACCAGCTTATTGGCTCCTAATATTCGAGCTTGTTTCATGAGGCTGTACATTATTGTAAGCTTCGAGACGCCGGCCAGGCGCTTACTTTGCGTCTTCATGAGCAAGTACCTCGAAATGTTAAATAACGCTTCCGGCATCAGCGACGTAAAAGGTTCTTCCTACAACACATCAACTTTATGAAAGAAGAATATTAGAAAAACGCCTTATATATCGTGCTTATATATCGTACGATCGTACCAGATATTTGTGCACTTCGTGATATGCATAATAGATATCCGCCTTGTCGGAATAATTGAGAAACATCACTTTGATCTCGTCCGCGCTCTTTGACAAATCTAGACTCAATTGCGATAAGAGCCAATAAAAGTAAGAGGCATCACGAAATCTTTTCTCTGTCACAGCATTATTAGCCAGCATCGTAAGCACGAGTATGGATTCTTCTGGTTGTCCAGCCATTTGAAACGCTAGTAAGTAACAACCAGTTAATATTTCGATGTTACACATGTTGTGGTGATACGATAGTGAATCGATACCTTCTTGAGCCTCGGAAAATCGTCCGGTCTCCGCCAACCATCGCGCGTACGGTCCGTACACCCGTGATTTCAACTTGGGATTTCTTTCCGCGAGTTCGAAAGCCTCGGGCCATGCTTGCGCATCTACAAGCACATCGGCGACGTCAGGATCGTCGCCCAGTCTGCTAAAAATCTCCGCTGCGCCATGCGAAGCGCCCAATTGTTTAAGTTTTTTCGCGATCATGGATAAGTTATCTCTGTCTGCCTTATCCAATTGCCTGCCTACTTTGATCAGCATGTCGATCCAGCCGTATTCGGCGATAATACTGATAGCACGATCGATGTCTCCCGCGGAAAGAAACATTTCAGCTGCGGCACGCGGCTCGCCCAAGCTCTTCGCCCACTCCGCTCGCCGTCGCAACAATACTGTACGATCCTGAAGATCAAGTAAATTGTTAAACCATTTGTAACGTATTATCCAGTATTCACTTATTTGATTATTTATAAAATTTATTCTATTATGTATGCCAAAACTGAATTTCAAACATTAATTATAAACTGACTTGTGTGTTGCCGGAGACGATAAATTCTTGAGCGATGTCGAACATCCGTAAGTCGGAGTACATATCCAGAGCGTACTGCTGCAAACCAGCTTTCTGATAAAGTTTCGCCGCATCACGAAGTCTGCCCATGGCGGCCGCGGCGGTGGCCATGCAAGCTTCTCGCCCCCATTCGCCGGATTTCAATTTTTCCTCCACCTCGGATACAATTTCTATGTAGCGCAGTTTCTTCACCCGCGCGAAGGCCGAATACGCGATGTTTAATTCCAAATTGTCTAAACACGCCAGTCCCAAAGCGAGCCAGTCCGATTCGGCTACGCCTAAACACGCTATGTCGTACGCGTGATTGTACAACCCGATGTCTAAGTATTGATACAAAAACAACGACAATGGCACCTGGAATTAAAGCATAACGTCAGCACATATTGTTTGCTATTTTGCGCAGATCCGCGATGACTTACCTCTAATGTACTGATAGACGAACCGTTCAGGCAATACAGCTTTGAACCGTTATGGCCGACGACGAAACCGGAAAACTTCTGTCTGTATTCTGAAAAGTTCGCGACCTTTATCGCGAGATAATTATTGCCCGCAAAGCACATGATATCCTCGAAAGCGATGTTGAACGCTACGCTGTTGACATCCTGGAATTCCTGCAGTTTCTCACCGGTGCACAAGTCAAATACGGACAGAATTCCAGTTTCGCTGACCACTGCCATCTTCTCCTTCAAGGAACTGATGTCCAGACATCTCACGGCATCCTCGATTTTCGCGATGTGTGCGGGAAACGGATTGTCGAGATATATCTTCATTACGTGCCCAGTCTTTAAACCTAATGCCAAAATTTGTGTCAACCATCTTTTATAATAGCAAAGCAATAATTTCTCAAAATTTACCAGCTATCAAGCACTCCTGTCCGGCGGGACCGCCTGCTACTTTGATGTAAGTGATAAGTCCGTCAAGTATCCATTCTCTTTCTATTATGCCAGCGAATGAGAGACTTTGCAGACGTCTTTCCAAGCATAATACTAAATGATTCGACGTAACAACTAGCAAATTGCAGTTTAACGTCTGGTTAAGCTTGTCTCGTATTCTGTAATGCATTCCGTCGATGGTAGTGGATGGTTCATAAATGATTACACGCTCAGGTAATTGTACAGCTAATCTGTTCCGATACACTGCGATTCGGCATATCTGAAATTGATGTTATTTCAACAATTGTATTGTTGCAATCCATTTATTTTAGACATATCTCAATATCACTTCGAAGAAAGCTCTGTCATACTTACCAGATCTTTACATTTAATTCTAACTTTTTGATTTGTGATTAAATGCTGTATTATTACATCGGTCATGTTTTCTCTGTATGCATATTTGTCTCCATACAGACCGTGCACGACATTCCACGAAAGTTGTAAATATGTTATGGTTCCGTCTTGCGAACCGAGTGCCTGTAAATAATGACTAAATAACGAATCATTAAAAAAAATGATGTAACCGGTGTAATATAACTTACAACATGCGAGCCAGATGGATGAACAGCACAACTCCATACCCATGATGAAAAAGTATTACCAACGCTAACCAATTGTATACCATCGTACGTCATTAACAAGCATTGTTTATTGCTACCGCAAACAAGAAGATACTGGCCTTCTGGGAAGTGAGTGACTTTCAATGGTATAAAACTAAACGTTCTTTCCCTTTTGACACTTTCTCCTCCAATAGTGTAAAATGAGATAATTCCATTCCAGTCAGCAATACAAAGAATGTCTATACCTTCATCCCTAAAATGATGATTATATAAAATATGTCTTGTATTCTGCTGCAGATAATAATTGTATCTTGAACTTGAAGATTATAGATACCGTAAAGGATTCCATGATAAACTCCAGATTGGTACTCCAGATTGCCGGTCAATGCGCAATTTTTCTTCGCCATTCTGAAAAATGTAAATCTATATTAGATAAATTCAAATCATATAAAAAGACGTATAATACATTAAATTACTTATTCAGTATTATTTAGAAAAAGGTATACTTTATTTCTTATGGAGACATATCCAGCTGCAAGACCAAGGGCTAAGTATTGTCCGTCTCTTGTCCACGCACAACAATTAACTCTACCACCAGATTTGTGTTTCTGCACAGCTTTCTGTTCAGAAGACCAAAATGCAATGTCTGAGAGTGAACAGCTGAGAAGCTGATGTGAGACAGGATTGAACTGCATTGACTGTACTGCTTCATTATGTCTAAATAAAATAAAAGTATATGAAATATTGAAGTTTTTATCGGTTAAGATATATATTCACGTTGAAACAATATCTATAATTGAAACAACTTACGAATATTTTAATATTCCTTCTAGTTTAGAAGTCCAAATAATGACACTTTTGTCTGCACTTCCTGATGCAAATTTTTTACCATCTTTCGCATAACATACACAGTACACTGTATCTTTATGGCCTATGAAATATAAGAAAATAATTATATTAAAAAAAAGAAATACATTTCATTGTTTAAGTCTTTTTATAAATAATCACCTTTCAATGGTTGAATTAAAGCACCATCATTAGTCTCGTATACAAGAACTTGATGGCCAGATGCAACAATTAATTGTGTGCCATCCGGATTGAAACAAAGGTCATATATACTGAAATATTATTTTATATTAAGTTTTAAGAAACAGCACAAGATATAGAATGCAGCTGTTAGTAAGCATTAAAAGAAATAAAAAGTAGCGTTTGTTTTAAATAGCTTCATTAAAGATTTCATGAGACAGTGAGTAAAGTATAAAATTAGAGAATATAGCATGTATTTACAGACTGATTTATAATTGTTAAAAGCAATTTACTCAAACTTTTTTTACCATTGGTCTGATTTTTCTTGTACTTTGTCGACCCATGCTGGATGTGCTCTCATTGTGTCACATTTAGCAAAGATTGTTTGGTATTATAGGATTGACGTGCAACAATATTATTCTGTGACATACAGGGATTTGTATTTATATAGTTACCACGGAAACGGCAAGATGGACGTGTTGTAAAGTGCAATAAACTCCAGAACTCTTTCAAAAGATAGCATTGATAATAATTACATCAAAGGTATTTTTAAAAAATTATTCTATTTATGAATTTAACAATTCATTAATTTGAAAATGTTCGAAAACATTTTTGACATGTGAATGGATGGAGTTATATGTATTTTTACTTCTAACCTAACTTTACATAAAAACTCCATCGATAACTGATTCTATTGATAAACAAAGTTTCAGCTTTATCAGTTGAAGTTAAATCTTTTGTTATCTAGAGAGTATGATAAATTTATAAAACTGGATTAGGTTAGGTTAGGTTAGATTTTAGTTGTGTACAGTGGTGTATTTACTTGAAATTTACTGTGTGTTTTACTGGTGTTTATAAAACATTTTGAGATATTAAAAGCTATTTATAGAAAAATAGAAAATATTAAAAAGTTTGTTGTATTATAATGGATATGCTGGATTTTTGTAAAAAATTACCCAAAGTGGTATGTTTTTTTATCTTAAAACAACGTTATTAAAATATAGAAATATTTTTATATTATATATTATATTATATTTATATATTATATTATATTTATATATTATATAGATTTAAAATGGATTTTCCTTTATTGAATTTTATAGCTTTATATTTGAATATATAAAAATTGATTATTTTTTAGGAACTTCATGCACATTTAAATGGCTCATTGAGTATAAGTACAATACAAAAATTACACAACATGAAAGGTTCTAATCTTTCTTTTGATGAAGCTTTTATGGGTGTTATTGATTTTACATCCTTGAGTGGGTATGTATATTCTTTTTTTGTTAGTGTTCTATAAAATACTTTAATATAACAATTTATTGAATAAATAATGTGCCAGAAATATGTAGTATCTGTTTTCTAGGTGTTTTAAAGTATTTGACATAGTACATGCTCTTACAATTACTCCACAGGCTGTACTTCTTGCTACTTGTGACACAATAAAAGAATTTTATGAGGACAATGTGATCTATTTAGAATTGAGAAGCACACCCCGTGCTGTGCAAGGTTCCATGACAAAAACAGAATATCTTGAAGCTATAATGAAAGCTTTTAAGTAAATATCTATCTCATCAAATTTAAACTTACGGAATAGTTTCTGTAAATTTTTATGCGTAGAATATTTTATTACTCTTTGAAGCAATTAGTAAATTGGCATGTGATATATCTGCAGCATATCCAAGTCTCAGTATCCAGAGATTGTTGTAAAACTATTGGTATCAATTAATCGAAAAGAAGGATTTGAATCGGCGAAAGAAAATATAAATCTTGCGAAGCAGTTTATGGAGAAGTATCCACAATATGTTGTCGGCATTGATCTGAGTGGTGATCCAACTGCGGGAGATATTGAAAATTTTTTACAGTTATTAGAAATGTCCAGGGAAATGGGTCTCAAAATTGCAGTTCATTGTGCAGAGGTAAATATGAATTTCTTTTTGGTATGTTAATGAACACAATAGTAAACATACATAATATGCATGCAGGTACCAAACAATATAGAGACAATTCATATATTAAAATTTAAACCTGATAGACTAGGACATTGCACTTGCATTCATCCTGATTTGGGAGGTTCCAGTATATTGTTCAAAATGTTACTAGATTTTAAAATTCCTGTTGGTAAGAGATAAAAACGCATTATATACATTTTGATAATGACTTTTCAAAGCCAAGTATTTTCGTATTTTAGTGATATTTATATTGCATTCTTTTTTTTGTCTAGAATTATGCTTGACATCAAATGTTAAATGTAAAACGGTAAAATCCTATATAGATCATCAATTTAAATATTTATATGAAGCTGGACATCCTATAAGTATTGGGGTAAGTATAAGTAATGACTGAAAATATATAGCTGAAAATTTGATAAAAAATAGCATAAAAACCATTATATGTTTTAGACTGATGATAAAGGTGTTTTTAATACCTGTTTGTCACAAGAATTAAAATTGTTAAGCACTGCTTTTAATATTGGGAAGGAAGAACTTAAGAAACTGACAGCATTATCTGTGGAATATAGTTTTGCGACTACAGAAGAAAAGAAAAGTTTATCATCGATTATTGAGAATTTTGAGTGATAGTCGACTTTAGTTTCAACATTCCGAATCATAACATTGCTTTTTCCTTAAAGACAAGAACATGTGTTGAAACAAGTTCACGGAGACGATTAATATTATTTTATACATATTATTATAATAATAATATTATTTTATACATAATACGTAAAATATTATATTTTAAAACATGAAAATGTGTGCGAAAGTGTGTCGATATATGTTGACTTCCAACAATAAAATAAGTAATAACAAAAGTTTTATTTAGTTTGGCTTTTATTTATGACAATATTAACAGTATATAATAGCAATTATAATAGTAATAATAATATCGCAAGAAAACTAATCATATAGTTTAATGTTATAACTACATGATTAGAATAGAGTAGATTCATGGTGTTTTCAGTTACTATGTCATTCTTCCGGGTTGTATGTACCCGAGATACTTAGCATATTTCGAATAGGAATATATGATTGGAATGGCTTTTTTATGAGTATAGACAAATGTATATTTAGACACGTTAAGTGTCTAACGTATAATAAAGAAAGAGAAAGACAAAATAAGAATTTTTTGTCTTTTCGGCGCGCGTAGTAATATTGGAATTGACCGATTCTGTTCTGTCAAAAAATGGTAAATTCTCACTTAATAATACAATTCTTTACTCATCCTGGGTCTAGATACATCTATGATGTATTCAAAGTAGAATCATACTAAAGCTTGAACTAAACGCTTACAGCTATCTAATGTCATAGAATATAAGAGATACGCAAAAACATCCATTTTGTAGAGAAATAGTCTGATCTCCACGTAATTGCGTGTATTTGTGCGTATGCATATAAGTATAATTGTAAATCATCAATTTCCTATTTGAAATATGCAAAATATCCATACAGTCAAATTTGTGAAAACAGATTTTACAAGGTATCTGTTACAAGTTTTATTGACAGGATGCTGGCAAAAATTTAACAGTGTCTGATATTAGTAAATATCGACGGCAAATTGACGGCAGAGAACGCATTAGGATCTGCCGTTCTATAACCATTTAAATGTGTTAAATGGAATATATATCAAGTTGATTATGCCGACAGAATGTGAACTTAATGCAGACTCAAATAATCTGCCATATCTTCGTTGAATCTGCTGTCCATTTGCCAGCATACTGCTATTTGTTCAAAATTTTCTACCTTTATAAGGAAGCACCTTATACAATTGCAATTAATATTATCAGTATAGCGATAATATATTGTCATAAGCATATTAACTTAAGTTTCTAACGTTCAATTTAAAATCTAACAGTCTTTTTAGTTAAATTTTTCTATATATACAATAGAACTTATAGAAATCTCTCAGAGTTTATACTCTGAAAAATTAGATGCCCATTGCTTAATACATTGAACGGTGTTCAGTTTTGCAATGAAATCCTCAATAGCAATCGATTTTTGCTACAATTTCACTATTATGTTACATAATATTAGAGTAAAAGGTATTAATAGTGATTAGATTAGATTAGAATACATTAAAGTACGAATCACTATTATTTTACATTTTTATAATTTTTTACTAAAGTTTCGCTAAATACTAAACACTAACCAACAATAACTTAATATCAATTTCCCACTAATATAATTCTTACGTACTCATAATGTCACATACAAAACATGTTACATGTTGCAATAATTCTGCTGCTGAGTGGGAATGTTGTTGGTTAGTGTTTACCGGATATGACTATCCTAATCGTAACAAACGTTTTTTATAAGATGCTTGATGCATCATATAGCAAATTTAATACACCACATATATGAGCGCATTTCATAATCGAAATAAAAATGAATATTGTATATACGATTATTTTAAAATATCGCAAGATATTCAGATAAATAACTCTGTTGAAAACAATTTTCACAAAATAAAATATTAATTTTGTCAATAGAATACTAGCAGAAATATAACAGAGTCTGAGTCAATAGAGTGTGATTGCAAATTGATAGCAAAAATCGAGCACAGAACAAACATTCCATATCATTTAATATAGTATTAGTAGTAGCATTTTCATAAATGATTTCCTTATGCTCAGTCCCTTTTTCTACTATTAATCTGCTTTGAAATTATATCAGCAGAACAAGAGTTTAATGCATATACAATTTATCAATCTGCCACAATATTATTATCTAATTTGTTGTGACACTGCTAACATACAGCTGACATTTCGTTTTGTATTTTAAATTACAATATACACTCTAGAGAATATAATACGGTATATTTAAGGAATATATAACTTAAAGTAATTTTTATTTTAATAATAAAATACATGTATAAAATAATAGAGATAGATATAAAAAAAATACGTATATACAATATTTTACAAATTAATATCGCCGCGTTTTTCTAACGAAAGAAATGGTTTATGACGTATGTACATACTTTAAAAAATGTAGTTGGTTGTCTGGAAAATTCGTGCCATATTTCACATTTCAATTTGTTTTCCAAACAATTCAATATTATCATTTAGAAAAATTTGAATTCAATAATAATATGGAAACAGATATACGATCATCTCCTTAGAAACAGATATATAGACTGTTATAAAGAATGCAGATGTAACTATATACACTATTTCTGAATCATTACGTCAAAATCTTCTATTATTAATGATAATAGATAACTACCTCAATTAGCTTAGGAGATTAAGTGTGCTAAAATTATGCTACTACGTACGTACTAAATTTTTTGATAAGAAGAAATGTATACTCTTAATACGATCTAAACATTACAAAATAATAAAAATAATCTTATTATAAATGTAGAAAAATGTTAAATTATGTATGTATACATTCTCTTCTATGAAAGAATGACCTCAATCTGCGCATCTAATGATAAAATGGAGAGAAAAATAGAAATCGAATAAGAGAAAAGAAAATCGAGATCTTTCTTTCATAAAATAGAATACAGATAAAATTTTGGTAATTATTGACGTTCATTTACACTTTATTGTTTATAACGAGGTACGTTATAAAGATGTATGACAGAAATGCACCAGACTGTCTTAAACAGCAACGATATTTATAACAGATCTTTTATAATAGATCTTTCGAAATCTTAAAATAATTCATTATTAAATAAAGTCTAACTTAATATCAATAATTACCACAATTTTTAAGAAATTGACAAAAATCCTTTAATTTTATCAAATTTTTAAAAAAATTAATCGGAACTTTTACACCACGTCTTTGTCAGTTAAAAATAAATAATCGCATTCAATATCAATTCCGATTGCACATACTCCAATGATAGAAATGTTTTACCGTGAGATGAATATTATGTACACGTAATCTAAACATATCTAAATGTGGAGATAGATGCTCATTTTTATATTTTAAATATATCTCAGACAACAAACACGAATCTACAAAATATTTACCCAAAGCAATTGAATAAGTTTAGTTTTTTTTTTTTTTTTTTTTTTTTTTTTTTTGAGGTCTTTTAGAATTTTAATTTGTTGCCTGGAATGCATTTATCAGAGAGAAAAACAAAATTCCGTCCAAAAAAACAAAACGTCCACCCAAAAGTTTGTCAAAAAGAATAATGCCAAAAGCTTCTTAATAATATGTGAAGTTATACACGATTGTCTCAAACCACGTAACAAACATCTTTATAGTATTAATTGATTATGTCACTTACCAAAACGTTTAACCACATACAAATACACATACTCATTACCATTACCATAATGCTCATTATCATTTCGTGTCTAATATCACATTATATTGGAAACTTACTATTTAAATAATCTATAAACAAGAATCTCACTTTGGTAAAATCTCACTAAGTTTTTAATAAGTTCGCGACTGGCAGATTTCGACTTTTTGCAAGAAAACTTTTATTTGCTCAAAGTATAAAAATTATGTTGAAAAATTATTTACAATATTATATTCACTTTCAATATTAATTATTACTTACAACTAAACTAAGAATTAAAAAACTAAAACTAAAAATGTTTTGTTAAATTTTAATTAAATGAGATCTGATATCTAATTTACACCTTATTGTTTGTCTAAAACACAATTGAAATTAATGGGCAAATAAGACATTTTTTTTTTTTTTACGAAATTACACCTCTCAAAATAGATTCAAAAGATAGACATCTTGCGTCGCGAACGTATTAAATTGCGTGTTCAATAAAAAATCTAAAGAAATCTAGAAATGATTTACAACTTTACAATAACAATAGGAGTATATGCAATACAGTTCACAGTATATTTCGTTTGTAAATTAGAAACATTAATAATATGGCAAAATTTTCTTAAACTTTTTCTTAAGTTTCTACATGGAAATATGTTTACTATTTACAAGATTATGGAACTATTTGGTTCCGATCAGAACGATTTCACTCTTTGTGATCCTGTTATATGGACATCCATATAATAAAAATGAAAAGAATATTCAAATAATAGCTAAAAAAAGGTTTATCTGATAAGCACGCAAAAAGTTAAGTAAATTATTTATTATTGTTTGATTGGACAAAATTGAAGATTAATTCCGAAAGCCAAAAAAGATCTATAATATCTCTAAAAGACTGAAATCGTGATCGAAAACATGTTTTCTCCGAAATCGTATTCCATAAAAATTCGCAGTGATAAACTTCTTTTATTGGGCATTATGAATTTAAGTAGTCGATTCGATAACTATAGAAACGCTGGAACATTTTCTCAATTCTTTTATGTATGGTGTAAGCAAAACTCTATTGATTGATTTATTATATATAAAAGCGTCTTTGATGCATTCACGTGGCACTATTTCGCGACGCTTTATTATTAGGGCTCGACTGAGTGCTATTGTTGGAATCATCATCTTTAGCTGGTAAGATACCTTCATATAAAATACCATCAATGCGCATACTAACTTCCAGTTGTTTTTTTCCATCTTCTGTAAGAAAAGAAAGAGGAAAAAGATTACTTATAAGAACACTTAGAGAGTTTGTTATTTAATTTTTTTGAAATATTGATGATTTCCTAAATTGTGATCAATTTACTGTTTTTGAAAAAAAAGAACTTCCATTTTATTGTAATATCTGCGACGATAAATTTGATGCATCAATTATACACCAAATTTTATAGTAAATATATCAAAAGGTGGGTAAACATATCGTAAAATCAAATTCAACTTACCTGCAACGCTGATCACTTGTGTAATGCGCATGCTGCTGTTTTTCTCAGCAGGACTCTGAGATGTATCATCAGAATAGTGTCCTCTTTTAAAAGAACAAGGTGAAAACTCTTCATGGTCTCTCTTTACACCACGGCTTGCCAATGGCGGAGTTCCGGATCCGACAGTCGGAGAACCTACCATATCGGGTCTAAATCCGAAAATATTTTTGATGAGATTCAAATAATCTCTATCTATTAAGTGTGAAAGACCTAGTTTCTACTCACCCGCGTTGTGATGCATTTGCAAGATCTAAAGCTTCTCTCTGTGGCTCTGGGCTATTTGATGGCACTAATGGCGACTGAGCTGCCGGTGGAGACAATGATGGATTCATATCTGCGTAATATCTATTTTTTGGATGGTACAATAAATTTGTAAATCTAGTGATTTCGAGTGAGCTCATTGGTCCATCCGGTGTTGTTGGCGACGGTGTCGATGTGTTATTTTGCTGATGGACCATCGAATTATTGACGACATTTCTGCTCACTTCTCTATTCAGCACCTTTAGTATATAATCTGGAACTATTTAGAATTGCAGAATGTTAATTCAATAACAATAATGGAGTTTTGAAGCAGTTTTTTTTCTGAATATTTTTCAAAACATTATCTTACAACAGATTGTGAATAATTATCGAGAAAATATTTAAAAAGAATTTGAAAAAATATTTTTACATGTGGGATAGATAAATGCAATATAATCCTAATAATTATTTTTTATAGTTTTATCTTTTAGAGGGACCCTTGATAATTATTTTGAGATAAGGAATAGATAACTGAAAAATTTTTTATATCGATTCCATAGAAGTTAAAACACTATCTAAAATGATAATAAAATCTAATAAAAAATAAATTAGATAAATAAAACTTGAAAGTTTCACGTTAAGTTTTTAGGAACAGGTGATGTGGTTTATATTCAATCGATTAAACAGCACATCTTACTGTTTCACGAAAAATCTCTCTTCTACTTTTGACCAGCATCGAATTTTGGTGTTATTCTGAAATAGTCTATAAATATCTTACAAAATAACGACTAATATTGAATATCGCAGACATCTCTCTTAACTGACAGCATAATAGCATCTGCTAAATTAAAGCAGCGACGCTTCGCTTATTGGCATCGCTCCATCAGACATCTGTACGAGCTATAAAAACGATCAAGAACTTGTTTGTCGAAACCCATATTTCGTACTAAGCTCAAGATTCAATGGAACATTCCTTCAGATGAAGAAATTGTGAGTAATATCGGAAGGACGCAGTTTAAAAAGACCGGGATTGACAGAATGCTTCTGTTTTTTCCACTGAAGCGACTACCGTTCTGAGAACGAGTATGATTTAATATAATACGCCAAAATTTGAACAGAAAAGTATAAGAAACATATATATAAATAGACTATATGATTCAGAAATCATGCTCAAAAATAATAACATTTTCGCCTCGAACGGTTTACTCGCGTTGCCGAAACTCTCGGTTTTTCGCGGAGACTCGCTTGTCTGAATCTTCCTCTTCGTCTCGCGGCTCGCGACTCAGTCTCTTGAGGTTCCTCTTTTTAGATTTTCTAATTGTGACAATTTCCACGAACTCCCTGACTTTTCCTCTTTCACACCGCTTTTAATCATTCTCTCCCATTCATTCTAATCTCCTGCTCGTCTCTTACGTTCGCTCTCCTTCTCGCTCATACTCTCGCTCGCTTTCTCGCATTCATTCTCGTTCTCACTCACTCTCACATTTGCTTCTATCAGAATTATTCCGATACTTGTCAATGATCTTGTTAAAATGAGTTTCTGGTTCCCGAGAATGCGTTATTATATCAACACACGATCTGTATTTGATATCCATTGATTGATATCCATTTCGCGACATTCCGTTCTCTAGATATCGACACTACAGTTATTTGCACAACAACAAATACAATATCACGGAGTATTTGGAGTATTTGATCGTCGCCGAGCAATCGAACAAAAATACGATCGCGACGTTACCCAGATCGTTGTCGGGCGTAGCGGCGAGAAGGTGGAAAGAGAGACGGAAAGGGTAGGGAAATAGGAATGCTCGTTAGCGAGAGTCATCCGTTAACGCCTGTCTTCCGGAGGATCGTACAATCAATTACGCCTCCTTCGCTCTCTCGCATCATCATCTCCGAGGAGGCCCAAAGCACTACCTACCGATTTAAAATAAACCCGTGTGCTCTACCTTCTCCCATTCCCTTTCTCAACTTTTTCATTTCCTATCCTGGTATTCCTTCCCTCGGTATCTTTTCATCTTTTCATTTCTGCTCTTATTTATATTATTTTCTTATTTTTCCGTTTCTCACGTTGTAGATTATGTTTTTTTCATTTACGTCTGTCGTACGCAATTGGTGATATTCTTTTACATTAATGCGGTAGGAAAAAATCGTATTGCAATTACACTAATTGAGACATTGGATTTTAAGGAGGCAATCTATTTGGAAATGCTTATGAAGAAGCGTTTTTCTTCTTGAAATTTTTGAGAATAAATTTATGAGGGATCGAAATAAAAAAATGTATTCAACGGTAGTTCAGCGTGATATTGCACGCTCTTTAAAATACTGATATAATTAGCTGTTTTCTAGCAAGATAGCGGCAATAAGATATTTTTTGCAGAAAATCTACGAGATGGTGCTATATATGAATTTCGCTGATTTAACGCGATCTTTAAATGTTTCAAAATGACGAGCTAAATACTGCCCTCCTTAATCTTTCTATTTTTAATGAGAAAAATTTCTATATGCAAAGTTATTTCATGAAAACAAAAAAAAGGAGAACTTACCATTAGCCAGATTTTGTGGTATAGGAGGAGGAATATGCGGAACGTGTGAATTTCCGTTTGCCATTAGTGGTCCATGATGCTGCGATCCACTCGCTGCCGCTACTGCCGCCATTTGCTGAAGAGTTATCGGCACCGGTGGCAACGCCGACAACGAATTCGATGTCAGTGAAGTGTTTATACTTCGTTGGACCATATTTTCAGCAGGATAATTACCATAATTATTGGTCCTGCGACTCTCGCGGCGATTCGTCTCGATTGCTTGCATAAGTTGATCCTGGGTCGACAGAGCTTCCATTTTGCTTTCGTAAGGATACAGATACTTCATGTACCTATCGGCAAAAAAATATACAATATTTAACAAAAACATTTAATTAGTGCAATACGATTATAAGTGTTATTCATTATAAGCATATTACGGGAGTGTCAAGTACGCGCGCGCGCGCGCGCGCGCGCGCGTGTGTGTGTGTGTGTGTGTGTGTGTCATAATATCAATTGTACGTTTGCGGTATCACAAATTTTTTAAATTCAGATCTAATAAAGTAAATTATTTAACTCAAAATAACAAAAAAGTCATAATTATACATCGTTTTATTATGTTACTATTTGTCTGCGAATTAATTTGAACAACAACGTGCATTCAAAAATTGACATACAGACATTTTTTCGCTAGTGACTGGCCATTTTGCAGTCTCACCGTTTTACAAGGCGATTCTATTATGGACGAAATGACTTGTCCCGTTCATAAATCTTTACAAATATGTGAAATATATAAGAATCCACTTTGTACAATGGCTTGCAAAAGCGGGAATGCTTTCAGCAAAGGAGGAAAGAGATTTGTGCATATATTTCAGGATCGGCAGTCGATTTTCGTCCTTTTGAAATCGAGTTAAATCAATCATTTTCAGAAAATAGCTTTAGCCATTCTAAAATACAATGGAATTTTTGATAAATTATAAAATAAAGTAATTTGAACAATGGGCATTCAAAAATGGACACATAGACATTTTTTCGTTAGATACTAAGTGAACTCCAGGCTCAGGTCATCGTTTTACAAAGCGGCGAAACGTTGACCAAATGCGGAGGTGTCGACAACACATGCCGGCACCTCCGTGTAAGAAATATAAAAAAATCCATTTTTTACAATGGTTTGTAAAATAATTTTTAGCTTTACAAAGGAGAAATCAATAAAGGTAATTTGCAGAGAGATCGCATGCTGTGATATACTATGATCTGCTGTCGATGCTAGGGTTGTTGTCTATTAAAGCCCACTAAGGTTGGACCAAATAGACCATGCTAATCCTCGGATCGAATATAGTAAATTCCTGTCATGCTAAAATATTAATGGTTTGCAGATAAATTATATATGTCGCTACCTAAAAAAGGACCTCAAGGTTGTCCTTAGAAAAGCGAACAAAATTGGGTGGATAATGTAGAAATACAAAGGCAAAATAATAAATTAAACAATAAACGAAAAGAGAATCTCATTCTTTGGATCAGCAACACGGTTAGAAAATACATAGGTGAACGGTTTTTGGATCAAAGAATTCCTGTAGTTTCGCGCAGGTATCGCTGGAAAACTAATCCAAATCCTAAATCAACACGGAAAAAAAGAATTTGCTGCCACAGCAAATTTTATGCTGTTAATTATTATATAGTAAAGATATTTGTTACGGATGCTAATTTTATTTGTTGCAAATAATTTTGCCAAATCTATCGCAAATTTTATCGCTATTATAAAAATTGATTTTTATTTTGCCATTAAAATTTGCATTGGCAGCAACAATTTTGCTGCATTAGCAAAGTACATTTGTTAGAAATAAATTATTTTGTTGTAACAGCAAATTAATGTGTCTTTACGAAAAAACGTACTCAACAAAATTCATCTATTCTACGAACAAAATAGATTTTGTTGATATGTCGAATAATTTGTAAAATTAGTTATGGTAGCAAAGTTTTTGTCGGCATCACATCTAATATACAATAGCAATGACGATTTTGTTGCAAAATTCTTTTCTTTTTTGCGTGAATTGGACATTTTCTGAAAATACCTTTAATCATTCTAAAATATTAACAATAGAATTTTAATATTTTAAATCACCATGTGGATGTAAACGCTCCATTTAGGATTTAGTTAGATCCTTTTACTTTTTAACTATCTCTACGTGAATATCACGTAGATATCACGTAGAAATATTCACGTGAAAATCACGTAGAGATAGGTGAAAAAGGTACAAGATAAGTAAAAAAAGAATTCTCAACAAAATGATTTATGAAAGACCTTCCAATAATCGATTTTGCCTTAGCACAAATCAGGGGTGTTCAATCAATCGATCTACCGACCGATCGCAACATGCTTTTTTTCACCATTTTAACTTTTTTGTATTTTCACATTTTAATTTTGTATTTTCCCCCGTACATGAGTAGATCGCGTTGCTAAAAAAAGTAGCTCGCATGTACAAAAGATTGAACAACACTAGCATAAATCGTTTAGAAAATAAATTGTATTTTTGCAGCAGAGTGTGCAAATCATAAGAGAAAAACCAAAATTTACTGTGTAATTGAAAAAGTGTGATTGTACATCTCAAACCAAGTCAAAATAATAAATTCTTTTCGTTAAAAATTTTAATTTCGAGAAAATCGACTTCGAAGATTGGAAAATTAATAATATATTTACGTTCTTTTAAGCTTGACTTTCAAGCATTGGCCTATTTTGCGTACACGCTGGGATTTTATTATTCAATGTTTATAAACATCGCGAAATTATCGTTTCCGAGTCCATTTCAAATTTATTTGCCTCTACAATTTAACATGATGAAGATGATATCTAATGCCCAAGAGATAGAAACAGACAGTTAGATTATGATTTCGGTTAATCGATGTAGACAGATAAATCTTATCGTGAACACATTTCGTTTGGGTCGAACTTTATTCTCATATATTTTCTCTTATATCTCACGCACGCACAACATATCGCCGAGGAAAGATAGCCGGTTGGCGGAATGATGGATGCGCCACCGCGATGGAGCGACGCGACGTCGTTCTGTCGCGCACAAAGCATTGCGCGGAGTTATTTTCACGAACACCCCTAGCATCGCGCCCATGTAATTCATATTAGCCCGCACTACTTATAATGTGTCGGCGTTCCCCCAACTCTCCTCTCCCACCGTCATTTTCGCGTCTTTCTCCTTTCCATTTCCGTGCGACTTCCTCCGTTGCTGTTCAACCACGAGTGCGGGATGCCTCGCGTCGCCGTCTCCCCCGAATCACGTCGACGAATCTCTATTTAGAGACGTTCGTCTTCTCTCGTCTTACTCAGACGAGCGGGGGAGATGGAAGGGAGGTGGAAGACGAGACACCGCGAACGGCAGATAAATCTTCGTCGTCGCGCTGGATATGCTTGGTATTATATAAACGAATATATATCGTGCCGGCGGTACTCCAGGTTGTCACAACCCACCATGAGGTGTTCTCTACTCGTGGAGGATCTACGGACGCGCGGGGGATCGACGCGAAGACGACGCGTCGACTAAGACGATGCACCTGTACGTCACGCCTCCAACTCGTCACCTATGTTGTTTTATCTTTCCACCAGTACTAATAACGCGCGCTTTGCGAGACCGCGATATATTTGCATGCTCAACTACGAACTCTGTTGAACCTCATTAGCTAGTATATCAAACATCGATAATGATTTTTATCAACGGTATTTAAAGTATCCGATATGTCTTCCGCATATATTGTTGTTTTCATATACATTTAATCCGGCATTCTTTTCTTTGTCATATTCATTATCGTGTATTATAACCAGATTAGATTATTTTAAAAACTTTTATCAAACTTTTTGTATATATTATTGTCAAAAATCTTCAAAGATATCTCGTAAATCACATGCAATGTTTCAAACAGACTGTCGGTGGAGTTCCGAAAGAGTCAACCCTCCGATTTTGCTGCCGTTTGATATACTACTGTATTTTGGTGCGCTGATTACGAATATGATAATGAAAATTACCGACACGGTCATTTTCAAGGTCAAAACTTAAAAAAACTCAAAAATTATCGTTTTTTAAACATTATTTTGATAAATATTGATGTAACAAAGAAATGTTTCAAATAAAGGTTGTAACTCTTGAAAATCATTTATGTCCTATGCATTTTTTGCATAGAACCAATATTTTTCGAAAAAAAATGAGATAATAGAAAAGACACTTCTACTGCATCCACGCATATACTTTATAACGCGAAGTGAGGTTCTATATGAGTTTGCAATTTTCCACGTAAAGCTAGGTTTCAACCCAAACTCATGTTTAGGTTTTTTATGGTGCAGCTCCCCGCAGAAGGGCGAACCACAAGCCTCTACGCATACACTTTTCCACGCAAAGCGAGATTCCACCTGGGTTTGCATGAAACTTTCCACGCAAAGCGAAATTCCAACCAAAATCTATGTGTATAGTTTTTTAATGGTGAAGTCTCCCCCGCAGGGGGCGAAACACACTGCATAGTGCGGGGAAAGTGTCTTTCCTATTATCTCATTTTCTTCAAAAAATATTGGTTCTATGCAAAAAATGCATAGGACATAAATAATGTATTTTTTCAACTTTTATTTAAAACATTTCTTTGTTACATCAATATTTATCAAGATAATGTTCAAAGAAACGATAATTTTTTAGTTTTTTAAAGTAGTTTTGACTTTGAAAATAACCTTGTCGGCAATTTTCATGATCATATTTGTAATCAGCGCACTAAAATACAGTAGTATACCAATCGACAGCAAAATTGGAGTGTTAACTCTTTCGGAACTTTATCGCAGATTGTTGAAAAATATAATAACCAGATAACATTGAACAATGCAAGTGCACGTAAATAATCGATTTCTAGTAAGTGTATATTTCATACAGTGCGCATGGTTTTATCGACGATCTACGGCGAAAGGCGCGCATAAAAGCGTCACGACACGCTCTTAGTCATCGCCGCAGATTTCACGCTCGGATGAATCTTCGTCAGCTAAAACTTATTGTATGCGAATTGCGCGGCGGATCTGGGCACAGGTGAGACCGGAGTCCCGGATGAGAAACTTCACGATACAACTTACTGAGTTCGTAGAGTGAACGCGGCGGAAGTGATGCTAGCAGGCAGCCGGAGTCCCTTGATGATTTCCTGCCACAGTTTCTTGTTTATTACCTCGACGAGTCCACCTCGCGCGACCACTAAATTGTAAAGCTCAAAGAGATCCAGCACGGATTTCGCCATGATAGGCAGCCGATTGATAGGTGTTCCTGTAAAATAAGGATGATTCACAATTAGATGTTTTAGCATACGGAAACAACATTATTATCATTTTTTTTGAAAAGACTTTAAATATATAAAGAAGTAAACAAGTTATAAAATTTATCAGACACATGTATCCTAATTATTTAATATTTTTCAATAATCTTTTTTTTATGCTTGAATGACAAATAATAATATAATTTTCTAGTCGATTGATAATATTAAAAAATAAAGAAAATAATAAAAAATTTTAATAAAGGGAGATTTCTCGAGAAGAATTCGAGGCGTCGCAAGATCAATATATAAATAACGCAGAGAAAATCATAAATGATAAAGCGTGTTATCACTCCTCATTTATTGTGTAATCAACCGAGACTGATTTTGCGATCGTCTTGAGGCACGGTTAGCGTAACACCGTGTAATTTTACGAGGTTTGTCCAAGGATATCCAGAGCGTGGGGCGTTAACAAGAGCAATAACGAATTCGCAACGATCACGCGAGTGGCGCAGTCTCTTTTACGATCTTCCTTAGGGTGATTCGCGCTGCTATAACAAATAAAGAGAAAGGAAGGAAGAGCGTGCGGCGGATTAAGGGTAGAGAACGAATGCGCAGAATGAAAAATCGCGGCAAGGCGCATCGACGTAGTCGCATTATCACACTTGTTATTGAGAATTATTGATCGCAAGCCTTTTATAAGCTCTCGCATGACCTTTGCGTTATATTAACACACCGAATAATGCAAATACCAATCGTAGCTAATTCTGACAAACGTTCACAACAAATTCTGCTTTCGATAATATCTGTCCGATGTGCCAAAGTTTATTACGCATTGAAAATTAATTATGCTCTTTTGAAAGAGAAAGGTGCGCTTTTACGGAATACGGCTGAAGCATTTATGGGATTTAATCCGTTCGGCATTATGTGAAACGCCACACTTAAAAGCAGGTATTGTAAGAATATAGATAGAGCTGTAAAGCTTGTTTAGATATTTGGTCGACATAATTGCAAATAGTGAAGCTGTCGTGAAGCAGCAAGCCAAGTACTAAGGGGAAGCATCCTGAGTTCAGAACCCGGTCGGCTCCTTTTGTCGACAGTTTTTCGACGATTACAATATGGGAAAAAGCAGGTAGGAAATATTTGTCAATACTTTGGAGTAACATTCAAAACAGATATACAAAAGAAATCCTCCGGTTAATTCGCATTACCGTTGTCCACTGTGGAAGCCAAGTCATCGAATTTTACGAGGCTGCCCGAGCTAAGAGTTAACGGGGTGTTAACAAGAGCAGCAATACTCTCGCGACTGTCGTGCGCTTAGACTACGTAAATGGGCCTTTACGAGCTTTCGAGTTGGCGTAATCAGAGGTTTTAGAGTCGTGCATAAATACGGGAGCAACGTGTTCAGGATGGGCGAGCGATTGAAAGACTTTTGCGTAGCAGAACCAAGGTGACACCCTAAGTATTCAAAGGGGAAGCTATCGTGCGTGACGCTTTATCGCGCCGAAGATAAAGAGAGATTTGCATAATGTCCGCCGGGTTTCTCAGCTCCTGATATTATCGGTATTTTAATTCGACTTTTATATTTCGTTGTGCGGCTTTTAAAAAATTTCCCGACAACGCGTTCGGCCACCGCGCGGTGGCCGCTGCTCTCCACGCAGCTCGATGAATTTTACGAGTTTGTCCAGAGGTTCGAGTTAACGGGCCGTTAACAAGGGCAATACTCGCGACTATCGCGCGTGCGGAGGCCCGCTTTGCGGCTCTTTACGAGCTCGCGAACGATTCCGTACAAGACGCCTCGGTGCACGAGAGGGCAGGAACGCGTTACAGCGCGAACACGGACGGGCGTAGACACGGACAATGAGAAGGAGAAGCGCGCGTTCCGCGGCGCGGCGCCGTACAGCGTGCCATATCGCAGGATCGTTTATCCGCCATCGAGGACGATGAAGGGGACTGCCGCCATTCCTGACCGACGAGAAGGAGGCAATAAAACCGCGCAGCTCGAGGTAGGGGAACCGGCAATTTCGGGCTATCGAGCGTGCTCCCTTCAGGTTTATTATTGGCCCTGTAATTATTGTTGATATACGCGCAACCCGGCAACCCGCTTAATGTTCCTATGTAGGGCGCGGCGATAAAAGCTGCACAAAATGGCGACCGATCGCCGTTCCCTCTCATCCCTTAATGTTCTGCGAGACTTCGCGGTGAAGGCGCAATCGATGGGAGCCGCGATGCGCCTCGGGCGTATCGACAAACGTTTTACTCGCTGTGGAAGTCGGAATACCTCGCGGAATTTTTACAATGATGTGTCTCACATTCGGATAAGCCTGTCGAGCTCTCAAACTTAATTAACACTTCTAGGTCTTCTTGACGTCAAGATATAGAACTTTTTTAATGGATAAGTAAAATAGAAAAAGAAATAAAAAAATGTACATGTCAAAATTACTTTGTCTTGCTCTGCAGACTTACATCCCCCTACAAAATCACAGGTGAAAGTTGCAAATGTTTTTGCAAAACTTAAGCTTGTTTTCTTTATACGCGATACTCCTTTATACATAATTGAGAGAAACGAAAGAGCAAAGAGGACAATAAAAGAAACAGCGGGAGTGAATTCGCAAGAGGAAGATAAAAGAACGAGAGAAAGAGTCAAAGGAGAATAAGAGAAAGAAAGAAAAGACGGACAAAGAGATAGATAGAGAAAGAGAGAGAGAGAGAGAGAGAGAGAGAGAGAGAGAGAAGAG